TGGGTAACTATTTGTTGATGTTTCAAACTCCTGCCTCTGCATCTGAAACTTGACAAGATCAAGTCACACTTTGAACAAACAGTCTAGGAGGGGGTCGTTGGGGTGGTGCCAAGTTAAAAAAGATGGGACAGATTGTCAGTTAGGGACCAAGGATTTTATTCGTTTTAGAGATCTGTCTCTTTCAATCTTGCATGTCGACCTTAAAAATGGTTGACATTCTTTCTAGGCTTTACTTCAGCAATCAGCCCTAACTGCAGATGACATTTGGAAGTCATATAAAACCATCATAGTTTGTGTGATAAACATGGTCCAAGACACAAGAAGAATGAGCATGAGTTAGATAAAATAAGTCAGTAAATTACAATGCTGTTTGAGATTAAATACGTTTCCTCTGCTTCTCCAGTTATGTACTTAAATTGCAACATTTCCCTTATTTTGTCCCCTCTGGATCCTCGAGGACCTAACTTTCCTAGTTATACCAAACTTCTAATATGTACATTTTGAAAATAAGTAGTAATAATAAGATGAAGTGAAGAATGCCTAAGGTCTTTATAAATTTATCTTGTAACGCAGTGAATCAGATTTTTCTAACACACCTTTGGATGCTGGACCTTATACTGGCACCCGAGTAAGTCTATTTTCAAATATCACTTCCAATGTTACTTTCATCTAATTTTTAAATAGATAATAAATAGGGTAAACTAATCCAACCTAAAAATGGAGAGTATAAGAAACAGTGTTACGGAAGATAAAGGAATACAGAAACACTCTTCACCCAATGTGGCTTACATTAATGATTCTATTCAGCTTCCCTTGTTTCATCTGGATCCTTCTCCTTTTTGATACTATCAGACAAGGTTTTTAGGCAAATGCAACGTGTCCAGACCCACCTTAATGATGCAGAAAATGCTCTTATGTGTGTGCTGCATAACCTTCCCACAAAAACCAGCACTTCCCGACATTGATTATATAATTCTTTATGTCATTTTGTGAAAAGCAATTGGCACCAAACGGTTTCCGTCTTTTGTTGTTACTAACCAAAAAAATGTTTATATGATGCAAAGACTATCTGTGATTATACAAAATCCTGTTCACATATGATATTTTTACTTTTTTAGGGGATTTACACACACAAAACATAAATATACCATTGGACAGAACCATATATTCCCTTCTCTGTGTGGGCTCACATGCCTTTTTTCCTGCTTCCTTTGACTCAGTATCTTTGTATTTTTCAAGGTCACTGATGGGAGCATAAGAAGTCTTCTGGATTTGTGAAATGAAACAACATAAATATGAATTGATTGCTCTCCAGCCTGGCAGTATAAAAGCCCAGGCCTGGGACCGCTCTGGTGGTTGGGGTGCATGTGGCTAAAAGATAAAAAAAAATATATATATATATATATATATATATATATATATATATATA